CAAAAATATAAAGGAAATGAAAAAGAAGAATAAAGAAATCAAGAAAAAGTTTAAACACCCAAAATGACACAGGCAGACAAACACAACACAACAGACAAACGAATACTGGTACCTTAAACTGAGCATCGACAAAACCATCGTCCTCCTGACAGAGCTTCTGGTATTTGGCTGAAGGGTATGAATTAGCATCCTTGCGCACCATGACCGCACAACAATGACAAACAACAACGTCCCCTGACCTGAAACATACACAGTAATCAATGGGACATACTCCTTGGCATAGGGAAGACTGTGCATAGCATCAGGTTCTTCTAAATTGAGAGTGAATCAACATCATGCTGTAGCAACCAGTGATGACATAGCAAAGGGACAGCTGGGGTACATTATCTAGCAGCATATTTGCCTCATGTGATCTTGGATTGATATACTGCATGTATCACCCCCTCCTTCACTCCTTTCCTTTTTTCCATACATAAATCCATGTGTACATCAAAATCCTTTTCTCTGTCAAATGAGGTTCCTTTTTTGCGTGTGTGAAAACAGTTGAAGTGATTGTAGAATGGAAAATAAATGTATGCAGTGATTACTGGAGCAGAGCCTCTTGGTTTACAGAAGTTAAGCAGCATCACGACCCATGATATAAATGTTCACTCAGTATTGCATATCAATATAGTCGTGTAATACTTGAGTCATTTACAAAGGTAGGTATGGATGAATAAGGAGGTTATCCAGTGATTTATACAGATATATAGATAATTGGGAAGACCTATAAATTACATGCATACATGTATACGTATATGTAAGTAATATATATATGAATGAGTATATATATATATCTATATACATATATATATATATATAATATATATATATATATATATATATATATATATATATATATATATATATATATATATAGACACACACACACACACACACACACACACACACACACACACACACACACACACACACACACACACACACACACACACACACACACACACACACACACACAGATATATATGCACGCATGCACGCCCGCACACACACTCACACACACACACACACACACACACACACACACACACACACACACACACACACACACACACACACACACACACACACACACACACACACATACACACACACACACGCACACATGACTTGATCTTACAATCCAATAGAATAATAAAGAAAACTTATCTGCTGAACAATTTCTATTGTAGGTAAGAAAACTGAAGACAATATTAGTAAATAAGTTAAGCCAAGACCTCTACCAACATTCTTCTTCAAGAGCCAGAAGACAGTATGAAAGTATGATATGTAAACATAATATATATCCATGAGGCCCCTTGAAATATCTGAGCCAATTAGAGTTGTAATGGATTATTATTTGCTAACAAATTCTTTGTAATAAACTGTCACATAATAAGTCTCTTTTGAGGTGGCCTGCCTATTGACCAACATTACAATACTACCAAGACTTTTTCTGGTAATATTACGGAAACATCAAAGCCAGCCTTGGAATACACCTCTATTGCTATTGGTCTGGATATATGGAGCAGGTAGGCCTATAACTACAGTGCTTGGATATCAGCATAACTTATGGATAATATCTACTGTTTCTAGGTTTTCACCTTTATTTTTCTTGGTACACTTCATGCTTATTTCACAAATCAGGGCTAACATTATCACTGTAGTTTCTTTACAAGACCCATTATCAAAATTTCGGAACACAACAGACAATATCCTTATCTCTTGAAAATCAATAATAGGCTTCTGTTTAAACCATTTAAAAAAATTCTACATTGGTTTGCATCTCACAAGACATGTTTTGGTATGAATAGGCTCCCATAAAGATCTACAAACCCAAAGTGACACTAACAGTTGGTAAAATTGATAGATAAACACCATATGAATGACTAAAAACCCATATAGTCTCTCAAACAATGGCTTGGGACTGAGCGAGTGGCAAGGGATGTTTACCCCAAAGAGCCTCTAACTCGACAGGGGTATGATGTCATATACAAGATTATAGTGGGCACAGACACCTAGCAAAAACGAGCATACACAAAATCTAGGGATCATGATTTCCTGTTGGCCCATTATTCATCATTTCACAATTTTTCCTGAAATTCTGTGGATGCATCATTATATGCATTTCATTCTTTTGTCATGCAGGTGTGAAAATTTATATGCAAACGCCTAAGAAACTCATATAAAACAAAAAATAAAGGAAGATACCATGTGAATTTAAATAAAATTGAAATAAGAACGTGAATTCCATAATATGTATACAATTATCAAAATCTGAAAGTTCTTGTGAGCTGATTACGCAAACTATGTAGTATGTATGAACTGTACAAGTGTACATTCTAGCCACCATGACAGAAAACATTGATTTACCTAGATCAGCAGATATAGATCATATAAAGAAATAAAAGTAACAAATAGGTGCTTACGGAGTCCATTGGGATTATTCTTTCAATGAATTTTTGAATAATACTAAAAGCAAAGCAAACTAGGAAAAAGGAGACATTATTGCAGACCAATGGAAAATCCCTTAATGATTCTTGGGATTTTGTTTAAAGTTCTTTTTATTTTAAAAGTTCTTTAACTTCTAATGTCCCCTAAGGGGTTAGTATGAGTTATTGCTGAGTTGATTATAGAAAAAAATATATAATAATAATTTTGTACTCTTTCAGAAACACTGATTAAAACTAATATATATTTATTCCTTCAGTTTGAAATTTCATATTTAGTCTCCAGAGTCCGATAATTTGGACATACCCCTTATGACGTCATAGTTTGACCTCTGACGACCTCGATATCTAACCAATCAGATATTCAATGATTTCATCTTACAGCTGTACCTAATAGCTTCACTTTAAGAGTTGTTAAGTTGGAAAATATGCCCAACTTGCTGAGCTAGTTCAAATTTAGTTTCCCCTACCCCCAAATTTATTGGTCTTTTTGAAGTCGTTGATTTCATACATCATGGCAATTTTCTTAGTGCCATGTTTCAGAATGGATAACCTTGCTGTTATGGTGAGTCATATGGTCCCCTAACCAAAAATGAAAGTTAACTTCAGAGCCCTTTTTTGCACACAGACACCCCCTCTTCTCCAGGACTACATGCCAACACCCAGGTTGGAAAACATGCAAATGCTTGCAGTGACGCTGATCTTGGGTCACAGCTATGATAATTTTTGCTCGCATCCAATTTCCTATCATGCAAATATTTGAATTCCAACATAACTAACACAACAAAACAAAACAAAGCCCATCCATATCTAAAAACATACATAAATAACAATCATTTCATAATTAAGTACTTCATAACATTGTTATCGAAAGTGAAAAACATCTGCTGTTGCTCGCACCATAAATGTCCTTTGCTCTTCAGCCAAAGCCCATACATTACCATTGCTCACTGTGACGCGACCATGAAAAACAACATTTTCCAACTGGGCCCTGACTAAAACCACCACAAATGCATACAATAGTTTGTTTGGAATTCCTCGGTACCAAACCCAATGCTTTTTTCATGGATGTCTCTGATATACATCAGCTCAGTTTTTCTTTTCTGGGTGAAAAATTACCCAAATAGGCCTATGTAAGAACCAACTATTGAGATATGACCTCTTGAACTTTAAATATTCGACTCACTTGTTGATCGTAACTGTTCCTACAACTTTTTACCTAAAAAAAGCACACACATACACATCTATCAATCAAATAATGCAGTATAAAATACGATATTGATGAGTAAACACAAAAAACAAGCCCGTACATACATAAACAATCAAGGTAAACTTACCTCAACTTTGACCGCACTACTACCCGCTGGAACAAAAGAGAAATTCCAATCAAAATACATAATAATAAACCTAAATCGTCTCACAAATATCCAACCACTTACAATATTCAATAAATTCGCGTAATAAATCGAGAAAAATACAATACATTCTCCATAAAACTCACCGAACGGAAGTTTTGTTTATCGATCCGCCCACTCACGGTGACACAACTCGATTTTAATTCCGTATTGTGTTCGAGAGAAAAGGTTCTTTATCACTATATAACATTTCTTTCTCTATTGCCAAAGAGAATCATATTTTATCATTCACAATTATGGTAATGATAGATAAGATGATGATAGTGATAGTAATTCAAATACTGGAACTATTTCTTTTATTACTAATAATATAACATTAGAAAGAATCATGATGATAACAATAATAATAAATGATAGCTTTTCACCATCATTGTTATTATCATTATGATCAGTATTATCATTACTTGTAATAGTTATTATAATTATTATCATTACTATTGTTTTACTGTTGTTATTGTTATTATCATTATTATCGTTATCATAATTGTTATCATTATTATTATTATCACTATTATTGTTCTTATTATCATTATTATTACCATTGTTGTTGTTGTTTGTTATTATCATCATTATCATTATTCCTATTATTATTACCATTATCATTGTTTTCAATAATAATATCAACAACATTAATGTGATTATTATCATGACAACTGTTATCAGTATCAGCACCATTTTTATTATCATTATCGTTATTATTATTGTCTATTATCGTAATATCATTATCGTTATTGTTATTACTAATATCATTATTATTTTATCATCGTAATTATTGATATTCTTATTCCTATCATTATGATTTTCATATATATATATATATACATATATATATATGTATATATATATATATATATATATTATATAATATATATATATATATATATATAATCTTATTCTATCTATTCTTCTCATTCCTTTTCTTATTCTTAGCATTTGTAGTATAGTAGTAGTAGTAGTAGTAATAGTAGTACTAATAGTAGCAGTAGTAATAGTAGTAGTAGTAGTAATAGTAGTACTAATAGTAGCAGTAGTAATAGTAGTAGTAGTAGTAATAATAGTAAGAGTAGCAGTAGTAACAGTAATAGCAGCAGTAGTAGTGGTAATAGTAGTAGTAGTAATAGTAATAGTAGTAATAGTAGTAATAGTAATAGTAGTTGTAGTAATAGTAATAGTAGAAGTAGTAGTGGTAGTAGTAGTAGTAGAAGTAGTAGTAGACTACTATTACTACCACTACTACTACTAGTAATAGTTGTAGTAGTAGTAGTCCAATTAGTAATAGTATCGGTATTTATTTTAGTATTATCCTCATCATTAGTATTATCAAACTAACTTTATGAAATGAAATGGGTGCTAATAGAATTACTAATATCAATTCGGTAAAAATGTCGTGTTTTAGCCTCGTCCGTTTGTTTACATCGCACGTGAAGCCAAACAATCCCGCGTTCACAAACCATACCGCCGATCGCTGTTGAGATCTTCCAAGATGCTGAAGAATGCGGTTAGTTCACTAATTTCTTTGTTTTTTAAGTTCTTTGATCAATAGTAGAGGAACTGATAAGTGTATAAGTGTAAAAGATTACTGTCGCCATGTGTTTATCGTTAAGAATTGTTATTTTACCAGTTGTTTAACAGTCTCCTGCTTTTGTTATTATGTTATATTACTACTTTGTATATAGCTTATTCTGTCTCGTATTACATATTTTTTTTTAATTTATTTTAGATCTAACAAAATGTACTTTGATATCGTTTTGTATTCAATATGTATTCAAGTTGCACGTGTTTATGTTTGATAACCCTGGTTCGTAGCGTTCTGTAATTCATAGGGACCTGTTATTGGTACCAGAAATAAACTGTTTCATATTTTCAGGTAGCAATTGCCTGTAAGTATGGGCTTCCTGGCATGAAAGCTCGGCCACTACACACAGCCACCGCCAACTTGTTTGAAAATGACATGCAGACACAGAAAGTTGAAAGGCTGGAAAAAAGTATGTGATTATCTTGTAAAGAATTGGTTGTTAAAGAATTGAAATCGTAGAAATATATTTAATTTGAATATTTGTCTGTCACTCTTTGTGAGGATTATGTTATAATTTATTTTAGGATTCAACATAATTGTTGTGTGATATTTATGTGTGTTTCTTCATGTAATTAATCTTTTCTCCTATGATAATGCTTTTTCTTTTTCTTTCCTTTGCCGTTTTTCGATAATCAGTCTGTTTAATCAAGAAGAACGTCCAACATTAATTGATAACTGTTTATTTCAATTGTTTAGTGGACTAAAAATTTATACATAGATTTTATTTGTATATCAGTTAATAAAATACACTTCCTTCTTTGCAGCAATAAACCAAGTGATGCTTCTAGGTAGAGTTGGGGCAGATCCAGAGAAACGGGGCACGGAACAACACCCAGTTGTCACTTTTTCCATAGCCACACACACCAACTACCGCAAAGGAGAAGGTAAAGTTTTCTTGTTTTGTGAAGAAGTCCTTTAGAGATTAACTTGAAAATTTTCCATTCATAACAGTCCTTTTCTTTGATGTCTGTTTATTTTATCCACAGTCTAGAATTAATGATCTTTTTTATAATTTGTCCAAGAAAATATAACAGAGTTTTAGCTTCATCTGTTCTGAAAATTGGTCAATCCTGTGTCCTTCTGAGATGTTGGACCATTAACTCCCTCTGCATGCATTGTGAATCATAATATTTTTTTTTTAAGGGAAATTATGGTGAAAGAGTTAACTCTTATGGTACACACTCAGGCACCTCCAAAATTCTTTTTTTCTGTGCTGACTCTTCTGCAAAACAAACCTGAAATCTTGCCTTTGTTTAATTTTAGGAATGAGTAACAGAGTATTTATTAACTTCACTACTGCTTTAGGAACATTGCTTTAGCATATTGAAATTCACCACAATATAGACTCATAATTAAAACTGATATAATGCCTAAAAATAATTTCACCATGAATGTAAAATTATAGAAGACTGCTTAAGACATTCTAGTACATGTGGTACTATCATAAAAAATAAACATTTCGATAAGAACTTAGCACTTTTTAGCTTGATAATCTGTGGTTCCAAATTGTGAAATAACGGAAATGTGAGCATTTACTTTTGTGGGTTGAAGTTTATTTTCTTATAAAGATAAAACTGCAACTATAGATAAAAGTATGAATGAGAATAAATATCTTCACTATGCAAGAGATGTATATTGACCAGTCTCAATAAGATCATCAGAATGGAAACTGGTCAAATACATCTTTTGTGCTGTGTAGATATTCATTCTCCTACATAACTATTTTAACATTTATTGCAAAGAATACTTGTACGAGAACCACAAAGTACCCTTTGTGACAACATTGTGACATGAACTTCTCTATTATGTTTGATTTAGATAATGAATTCTGGTTACATTATTAGTACTGGTATGGAAAAGCACCTTATGCAATCTCTGATTTATTATGATGATCCATTTTATGACTAGCTTCCATATATATAATTTCAGTTGCTGCATTTAAAAATAAATAGTGACGTTTTCACTTTTATTATACAGTTGAGGTAACCTCAGTGAATTACAAGTACAATTGTTTACATAAATACTTAACTCTTTTGTATCTTATATACTCATAGAATGAAGACACTTTGTTAGAATTATCCAAAGTAAGTGCCCTTTGATACCATATTTATTGGATATGTTTTATTAGTTCTCAAAACATACAGTGTGAACACGTATAAATATCCTTTTCTAAGATTTATTACAGTTAGAAATTCACTCTGGACACTACAAACATTTTATTTTGCATTGCGATTTCATTTTTTCATTTGTTTTTCACTTACCATTACATATCAAGCTTCCATCTGCCAGCAGAGCCAGCACAGCAGTGAAAGGTGCATTATGTCTAGGAAGAATTTGTAATTTGTATTTTTTGTACCATACTGTGTATGTTAAATGATGGTTTAACCCTAAGTAGTTGGCTGTTTAAGTTGGAGAAATCACCTTTACTCATATCTACTTTTGAGATTTTAGCAAAACCACATTTATGGCCCAGAATCTAGTAGTAAAGTTTTGGATGTTGTCCATTGAGTCAAAGGGTTAAAAAGGGAAAAATGATTATATATTATGTCAAATCAGATAGTAAATAATAATATTGATATAAATTGCAGTACTCCCCCCAAAAAAAGAAAACTCAAGGAAGGGTAAAAACAGGTGAGGTCTCGTAGACTACTAATTGACTCCTAGCTGGCAGAATACTTATGGAGCCATCTATGTGCAAATACATTTCACAGTACTACAGGCTTCTCACATTTTCCTATTGGCATTGGGTTAAATTGCAACATACCTTATGGGAGGTTTTTTGGATAGCATGTGATCTGCTTCTTGAAAGCCGTGTCTTGTGTGTATTTGGTATAATTTAGTCTGAGTGTATGCTTCTTCTGGGGTCCTCCGTCTTCCCTGTCACTACCTCTAGCATCTCCCTGGCATACCAATACATGTGCTGTGGCTGGTTTATAAATACCCAGTTTCTTTGTGGCATGGCTGAAATTGGTGGGGGAATTGAGGCAACATTTGATAATGGTTCCTTTTTTACCAAGTTATGCAGAATTATTGAAAGTCTGGACGTTAATTTGTAGCGTTTTGGGCAGGTTATCCTTTTTCGGTACCCCACCAAGGATGGATTTCAGTTAGTCTAGCCTCATCAGAAAGTGCGATATCTATTGTCGAAGGGCCATTTATATAAAAGATTACCTATTGTATTTCCTGTTATTTCTGCACATGTTATTACCTTATTGTGAACAAGAAAGAGAAAACATTACAGCAATGCATTTTGGGATGAGTCATCAACTTTCTAGAAATAAAGGAAATGTAGGAAGTACTTCTCCTTACTCAGAGAGAAGAGAAAAAAAGATACTTGTATTACTTTCTTTAACTGTTTCTCCTTTATTGTAACCGTTTTCAGCTTTTATAAGTTTTTATTTAGCATCAGTTTATTTTATTCATTACTTATTTCCTATTATCTGTTCCCAGACCTCATTCAGCAAACTGACTGGCACCGTATTGCAGTTTTCAAGCCATACCTTCGTGAGACAGTTTACCGCTACCTGACCAAAGGCCAGAGAGTGTTGGTTCAAGGGCGGCTTGGCTACCTGGAGCGAAGAGACCCAGAAAATAATTCTATCGTTATGAAGTCAGCGACAATTGTTGCTGATGATGTTGTTTTCTTTAATAAGGGGGAGGGTAATACAGGGATCTATTAGTATTTGTAACAATTAGAAAGAAAATATTAGATACAATGACGTATGATGTGGAATAATTTTTTAATCAGTTGTTTTGTTCTTGAAAACAGATCTACAATACTAATGTGAATCCTTTGGCAGCTTTTTAGATAATAAATTTTACGTGTTTGTGTCAGCTTCTTTATCAAGAAAGGATGTTAAAGAAATGAAACCAAAGATGTAATGATCTATTTAGAGAAAAAGCTGATAGTAAAATCAAAATCACATTTGTCATATCTACCTTATCAAGTATTTTCTTTTGCGCTTAAAAGTTAGGATTATATTTCAAAACATAAGAGATGCAAGAAAAGCAGTGTACTGTAAATATCTGTAATTGTTTAAACAATTACATCTATTCATGTTTTAAACTATCTAGGTCTGTAACTGATTATTATGAGAATCAAGATTTCTCTCTGTCTGTCATCTTGAGATAGAATATCATAAAGTGACTTTCTTAATGTTTTTATTTCTGAAAAAATGTTGTTTCTATTTAAATTTACAGTCAAATAGAAGATTGAATAGTAAAGGCAAAACTGAAATATGTATTTTTTTTTTCTTATGAGCTAATGTGAGTCAAACAAATTACCCATTTGAAAAAAGGCACAACAAACTGGAGTGCCTTCCTTGTTTAAAATTATGTATATATTATGCACTTATTGATATATAGAATAGAAGCTAGTGTTACTGAATATAACTGATATTTAAAGTTGGCATAGTATGTTATCAGCATGTGTGCTCAATTAATAGCCAAGAAATTTTGGTTGTTAATGCTATACAGATGTCTTTTGTATTACAGTTGTTTGAATAAACTTTAGATAATGATTTAAATCTTTGACTTGCAATTCAGATTGGAAAATCAGAAAATGAATGTATAATATTTTGATTGGACATTGAAATATACTTTGAGGATTTACCATGGAATTTACATGAATAATATGGTTGTTTACTGTAGAAACATGGTAATCACATTTAAGCTTTCTGCAAACTAATATGCTAAAACAATATTTTGAAAATGTATATTTCACCATATGTAATTACCCAAATAGTCTTAAGGTATTGGAAATTGTTACAGATGAAAAGAAATATAGTCTAAAGAGGGGCCATATGACAGACCTCTCACAATACTGCAGATCTCTAAACAAAACAATATGCCAGAGGTCGCAGTGGCCAAAGAAATGAAATAATGGAGATTTCAACTGATTAGTGGTGGTTAGTGTTCAGTTTTATAAACACTCTAAAAATTCCCTGTTTATCAATTAGTGCCCCCTAAGTCCATGCACCCTCCTGTTGTGGGGGGCTTAGAAAATAGACTGAGGCCCAGTATGGGGAATCACCCCAGCCTTGGACCTCAGCCCTTGCCTCAACTAATTTTGCATGGCCTTTTCTTCTCCACCTTTCCTTTTCCTTCTCTTAATCCCCTTCTTCTGTCCACATCCTAAAGTGTGAGAGCTATGCTGAATGGATGAAAGGCTGGTTTTGTGTCAGTCTTGAATGGCCGTCATACTCTGTTTGCTATTTCCTCTTTACCATTTTTACTACTATACTAACCTAAAGCACTTAACAACCTTTGACATAACATATTTTGTCCTAATTGGAAAACCATTTGTAACCTTTTTGTCACAATACTTCATAATTCTGTATGACCTTTCCTTATCTATGTGCTTTGCCTCCAAGCCTCACCACTATTGCTATACTTTTGTATATGCTGCTAAGAACCTTAGATGTTGAAGTGGGATAAAATTTTCAATAAATAAACATTAATTAGCATGCACAAAAAACGACAGAATTGCTGACAATTTAGATAAAATAAAAGGAATGAAAATAAAAAAAAACTAGGCTGCAATTAGGATTTTATAGACTTGCAAATCAAAATCACAAAAAGAAAATTACTGTGGAAAAAGCAAAACCATTTTTTTCAGTTATCAACCTGTTACTAGTAATACACCAGCTAGATATTATTTTAATGATGACGGATCTGGCTAAAATGATTTTTTGCCTACCTTAAGGAAACTCCTCTCATCAGGCTAGTTGTCAAGCAGCATTATAGGATAAAGGATGTCACTTGAAATAACTTAGAATATATTATGTTATGTGGCATGCTACTTTTGCATGGAAGAAGTTGTGCTCAGCTGAAGCAGTGAAAGGAGACAATGGAAATTGGTAAAAATGCAGGTCATGCTCATCTGAAAAATATTAATTCAAGTGCCACTGGTTTTGTATGGGAGAATGCAAATGTTTCTCTGCTTATCCTTCTCATGGAATAGTATTGGGCATTTGTGTTAAGTTTTTGGAGATATTGCTCAACAAAACACCAATCCAGAGTTTATTAGAAATATGTTTTATTTGGATAACACATTAATCTGTTACTGACTATGATGTACACCCACAGTCATAAAGTTTAACAACTCCTGGCCAGCATGTGTTTCCAGACATAAACCCTACCCCCTTGAGCTAATGGGCCACATCTGTGGCTTTACAGTTTGACTATACTATGAACATAGTTTTGCCAGCCAGGTAGTCATGGATACTGGATCATATAACATGTCTCATTCTCAACAGGATTCAAGAGTAGGATTCAGAGTACTATACATATCACACGCACGGGAGTTGGCTGTTGGGAGGAGGAAAAAGGGTGACAGTATCTAAACCTTGGTGTTTTATGTATATGTTCTGAGGTGTGCTAGTATAAGTTGGTGGAAGGGGTCTGTTTTGTTTGCATTTATCATAAATTGTGAGAGTCTGATCTAGTCACAAATGGTACATGGAAAGTCTGTGTCTTTGTTGGAATCTGTACTTGTGTGATATGTCACACATTTCTGGTTGTGAGGGTTACGCGTGTTAGTTTTTTGTGTGGTGTAATATTTTTTATTTATTTCAATTTGTTTGTGATGTTGAACATAGTTGTTAATATGTTTGCTTGTCTGCATATTGTGAGGATGTTCATATTTAGTTGATACATATTGTAATGTCAGTTTTAGGGTAATTGGTCATGATGAATCTGGTTGCTGCGGTGTTAATTTTTCTAACTTAATAATATTTCTTTGTGTGTGTGGGTCCCACACTGCTGTGCAATACTCCAGTGTTGATTATTTATGTAGAATAAGAAAAGGAGAGGGCCTACGATGGTTCCCTGGCGGACACCAGAAAAGACAGGAGCAGGGTTAGATACAGTACCGTCAAGAAGAATGCACTGGGTCCTGTTAAAAAGTTTGACCAGTAATTCCATAAAACTAGTTTTTGTGTCAGTTTTTGTCAAAGGCATTTGCATATTGCATCCAGCTGTCAAATGTCATGTCTTCCTAGAAGTCTACAAATGTAGTATTAAGTAATAGTGATCTAGGATTTGCATGATCTTTTGGGTAGGAATCTGTGTTGCATATCAGATAGTACATTCTTTGTGTCAAGATGTTTCATTATGTTTTTGTGCTTGATGTCTTTGAAGAGTTTGGAAGTGACGATGGTGAGGGAGATGGGGGTGATAATTTGATGGGTCTGTCCAGTCACCAGCCTTGAAAATAGGGGGGATGGCTGCACAAAGCCAGTTGGATAAAAGTATGCTCTGAGGGGGTGCATAAAAATGGTCTGGAAGATAGGGGCAAGGATGGGGTCAAGGTTTTTAGGATGAAGTAATGGATTATGTTGGAACCAGTCATTTTTTTAGTGTCCAGTGACGCCAGTAGTTTTTGTATTCCGTCTGCCCCAACGTCAAGAGTCAGAATGGGTGAACTTATCTGACATATTCAGTGTAATGGGTTTTCTTGTGTGAAGACAGTGGAACTGTGTTGAGTAGGTGTGATTTGTGTTCTGTTGTGGTGAGAAGGGTGTTGTTGTGGTCTTTAAGTGCAGCTAGGTTAGTGGTGTCCTGTTTGCACATCTCAAAGAACTTCAAGAAGTGTCTAGGCTTTTTTCATACGTTGTCTGGGATATCTACTGATTCTCTGTTTTTAGGGGGGAGGATTTAAAAGTTGCCCAGTTCTCTGGTGTGTTGTGCTGGATAGGATGCTGAATTTCTCCACTCAGCAGTGAATGGAATTCAAACATTCTTCCATCTTCAGCACCGAACTGGGTACAGCAGCTTCAAGACACATCTCCAAGACTTCATAGTTTTAGTCCTTGTTCAACTTCCAATATGACTTCAGCGGAATCCCGAGCACTAGTTCACATTCCAAAGTGTTTGCAGTTCTCTGGTGTAATCTTATTTCTTTATTTCTATTTCTACCTTTTCTGTAACTGCCTAGTATGTTTAAATCTACGAGGTAAAAAATCATCTATTTTTATTATAATTTTATTATTATTATTATCATTATATACGATCACGTCTTCGTGCATCTTGCATAAGAAAGCATTTCCAAATCCCATACTTTGAGTCGAATTCTAGCAACTTGCTTGATTCCAATTAGATCCAAAGGCATCCACAAATACATTACCATCTCCCCTCTTTTGTTCCACACATGCAACGCGTTTGATCTTATCGATTCTAAACTTTATATTACTTATTCTTAAAAAGCTTTACGCCATTTGTGTGACATAGCGCTGTATCCTTCACTTACAAACTGAGCCGCCAATGCTATGGCTCGTGTTTCCGCCCATCAACTTTCAACGTTCACAAGTTTTCCAAGATTCACAAACCATGTCCAATCCGTTTCGATGGTTCAGCCCAAATTACAGCGGTAGTTGATCCACTCGGCCGTCACCTCTCTCAGTCTTATTGAATGTATGAGAAATAAATCAACGTTACCTCTGGGTCCTCTTCGGCATCCATTTTTTTCGGCAGCACCGCCATGTCTTCCAGTGGAGAAAAGAGTTTTTCTGTCTAAATCTTTGCCATTAAAAGGACGGCCGACACCTGGCAATGGCATTCAGTAGTATTTTTTTTTACCAGAACAAACAATATTAATGATGATGATAATTATAATGATAATGGTAATAATGAAAATAGTAATGATGATAATAATGATAATGATAATAGTAATAAAAAAGATAATAATAACGATTATAACAACAATAATAGTGATAATGATGATAATAATAATGGTGATGATGATGATGATGATGATGATGATGATGATAATAATAATAATAATGATGATGATGATGATGATGATGATGATGATGATGATGATGATGATGATGATGATGATGATGATGATGATTATGATTATGATGATGATGATGATGATGATGATGATGATAATAATAATAATAATAATAACAACAACAATAACAATAACAATAACAATAACAATAACAACAACAACAATAACAATAACAACAATAATAATAATAATAATGATAATAGTAATAATAAAGATAATAATAACAATAATAATAACAACACTAATAGTGATAGTAATGATGATGATAATAATTATGGCAATAATAATGAGGATAATAATGATGATGATGATAATAATAATAATAATAATAATAATAATAATAATAATAATAATAATAAATAGTAATAATAATAATAATAATAATAATAATAATAATAATAATAATAATAATAATAATAATGATAATGATAATGATAATGATAATGATAATGATATATGATACTACTACTACTACTACTAATAATAATGATAATGATGATAATGACAATAAAATTTAAAAATATATAATAATAATGAAATAATGAATACTAATAATAATGATAATAATGATACTAATACTAATGATAATGATGATACTAATAATAATGATAATAATGATACTAATAATAATGATACTATAATAATGATAATAGATACAATAATAATAAGATAATAATGATACTAATAATAATGATAATAAGGATAATAATAATGACAATGATATAC